ATGATGCATGATGCATGATGCATGATGCATGATGCATGATGCATGATGCATGATGTATGAGGTATGAGATATGAAGTGAAAAGAAAGAGAATAAGAAGAGACGTTGATTCTCTTTTGCCCCTTAGCTGCTTTTAAAACTTTCTCTAAAGATCCGACATAACTTTTCTATTGATTTATTTACTTTAAGATTACCTAACGTATAAGTCAAATTATTCGTTGGCTGAATAAATTTAAAAATGTGTTTCCCAAAAAGGTTAGTTAAGGATTTTAGCCTCTTTCGATGTTTTTATAACATTGCTAAAAATAGATTACGTTTTCATCTCTTTTATATTTATTAGATATGAGATTTAATCCACGTCACCGGCTTGCCGCCTTCAGTGAACACAATAGGCCATATACTTCACAGTTAATATATTCACAATTAACAAGTCATCTAGAGCTCATCGTAACACTCAAGAATATCTCAAGTGTTTCCCAAGAATTCATTCAGCGTAGACATCAAAATAATTGCAGCGAAAATTCGATTCGTAACTCAATCAGATCATAGGTGCGCCTCTACTCCAGTCTCATCTTCTGCTTCTTCTGTTGCCGAATTATTTTGTTTTTATAACTAAATCGCAAGCAAATATTAAAGCCACATGCTTGTAGTGAAGTATACTCATGGCTAAGCAACAAGTTTGGCACTTTACAAACAAAAAATGTAAAAAGAAAAAAACATAAATAAAGAAAATATTTGACAATAGTCAACAAAATCATTTGCGCCTCGGGTCGGTCTCTTTTTTTTTTTTTTTTTTTGGTACATACCACAGTTTCAGTGAACGAAAGCGACGGCTGAGTGGAACTCCCCAATGACGATAGTCGATGGCCGCATCCGAGTAGCCGTGCTTGAGATACAGCGGATCGACGACCAGAGCTGATGTCAGACGGATGCGATCGCGCACCCAAAGTGTGGAGCAGTCGAAATTGGTCAGTAGCCATTTGTTGGGGTTCGTGTTGAATGAGTCAGCGTATTCGATGCCCTGTTTATTAGCATACTGAACTGTTTAGAGCGACATTTGATTGAAGAGATAGACGCAGGCAGAGGAAGCGAGATAGACATATATAGAGAGAGAGAGAGAGCGAAATCAATGTACCTTTAGCAGCGGCTTCAGCTCGGGGCATATGAAACTGTTGCCCGCATAGGCCGCATCGACGTGCAGCCAAACGCCGGGAAACTTTTTCAGCTCGTTGCCAATTTCGGGCAAATTGTCGAAAGCACAGGAACCGGTGGTGCCCAGTGTGGTGGACACAAAGAACGGCACCAGGCCCTGCAGTTCATCCTCCTCCATGGCCTCGCCCACTGTCTGACCGCGCAGGCTGGCGTTCTCGTCCGGCTCCAGAATGCGCAGCTTAACAAAGCAGATCATGGCTGCCTTTTCCACACAGCTATGCGCCTCCTTGGAGCAGTAGGCCATCAGCTTGGACAACAGGTGCCCCTCCTCGACGAACGGATGCTGGGCCTTGAGGCGCTTCAGTGCCTGAGCACGTGCCGCCAGCATTGTGACCAGCACACACTCCGACGCGGATGTCTATGCCATCAATGTGAAGCCATCAATCTTAACTCCAATAAGCAAGTCGCATTTATTACCTGTATAACGCCGCCGCCGGTGCTGCCCTCCTTGAGGGCCAGAAAGTGATCGGGCAGCCCAATGGCCTTGCCCAGCCAATCGAGCACTATGGTCTCCAGCTCGGTGCAGGCGGGACTGGCTGCCCACGAGAAGCCAATGCAGCCAATGCCATCGCCCAGCATGTCGCCCAGTATGGAGGGAAACGAATTGCCCGCCGGAAAGTAGGCATGGAATCGTGGATGCTGCCAGTGTGTAACGCCCGGCATTATCTTATCCTCCACATCCGACATGATTTGATCCCAATCCTCGGGCTCCTGTGGCGCTTCAGCTATTGATTGAATGTGGGTTAATATTAGTTATTAATGTTTCTGAATTGCCAATTTTATGCACACAGATTTGTTATATTTTATTAACATTTCATAAATGAGAAAAAAACACTTGTTGATGGTTTTCTGTGATTAGATTTTTCTGCATTTAATTTTGTCTTACGAATTTTTTTTATAACCAAAATACTGTTTTTTTTTTTTTTTTTTTTTTTTTTTTTTTTTTTTTTTTTTTTTTTTTAATTTTTTTTTTAAAAAAAAAATTTTTTTTTTTTTTTTTTTTTTTTTTTTTTTTTTTAACAAAAGTAATTTTTTTTTGTATGTCTACAAAAGTATATATTTTGTTATATATATATATTTTTTTTTATATATTTTATATTTTTAATACTGTACATCTTTTATATATATTTTTTTATATATTTTATATTTTTAATATTGTATACCTTTTATATATTTTAATTTTTTTTTTTTTAATTTTTAATATTAAATTTATTAATAATTTTTAAAATCCCGTATATTTTTCTATAATTCTTTCATTCAATGCTCTACAAATGTAACCCTATGTTAGGGTATCTGAGCTTTGTATACACATCATTTGTCACACCCCTCGCTGCGCTATTCAAATATTTAAATTGAGCTGTAAATTGTAAGTCGACTGCTGTCAAGGTCAATATTCGATTTGATTTCTTGTGGTCAACTTGACCTCTGGGCCTGGCCAACTGGTTGGCTGGCCAGTTTGACTGCATTGGAGGAGCCCATGAAAAACGGTTTTAATATGATATATAAATATGCACGTGAATTCCAAATGAACTCGAATTCAACTCAATTCAATTTGTATTCACATTTTGTGCATGTGACACAGGAAGTCAAGCTTCTGCTGTTTCTCAGAGCTTCTGAGACGATCTTAAATTGGACTTATATTTTACATTTGACTACGTGTCTACCAGCACGCATCTTTGCTTCTAGTTAGCATTGACAAGAGGAGGTCTTATACTAAGTTGATGCAGCTCATTTCTAATTTGCATTGATTTGATTCGGCTTTTGTATAAAATTTCTAAATTGGCCATAAAAAAA